ACACTTCTAGAGCACATTAACTGCTATAACACCTAGATGGATTTTGATGCAGTACTGAGACTGAATTTTTCTAGACCAGGGAATGCTTTTTGAATGGACTCTGCTATAAAATAAATCTTAGTCTTGGCCCTAGTTTTAGGCAATAGTCATGAGGACATCTCACACATTTAATATTTTCAGTTTGAGACATCAGTCCACTAGAGGCTCTGTCACTAAGTTCAGGAAAGCAGTTTCACACTCAGTTTGCTCATGGAAAAATTAATAGCCTAATACATAGCACTTTACAAACAGAATTCCTTTCAAAATGCAGCCAGCCCTGGGGTTGAACACAGTTGTTTTAGCCAAGCACAGTACAATGTGTAACAATTCTGGACACGTGAAACAGTATCAGGAGTCTAAGGCAGAATATGATTATCCAAATCTGCACGAGGCCACTACAGTGGAGCCAATACTCTGACATGGGTAAAAAGCATCACAGAACCTTTAATGATCAGGTGGCTTGCACCTGAGTATTTCTAGCACCGCAGTAATAGCATAACCATACTGGGGCACTGGTACATTGAGTCACTGGAAGAGTATTACCTAGGGTTGCCAGTTCTGGTTGGAGGTATTCTTGGCGTTTTATTACATGGCTGTCTTTAATTAAAGATTTAATCTTTAATTCCTGGGGACTCCAGGACAGTCCTGGAGGGATGGCAACCCTAGCGCTACCTGTTGAATTACCAGCACTGCGAATTGCAGTACTCTGAGTTTTTCCTTGAAGGTCTCTAAGGAAAGTACTGACCCATCTTGGTTTAGCTTGAGAACTCTCTCAATCCCCACTGAAGCTGGTATGTGTCCAGAATTGTTACTTTGTATTACACACATGTCTCCTTTATACCTTCCCCCCCCTCTGTATCTGCATTTTAGCATAGGGTTAGACAAGATGACCCTTGTGGTCCCTTCGAGCCCTATGGTTCTATGATTCTATGTCTTCAGCCTGTTTAATGACATATATCAGAATTTGAAAAGCTTTTCATTCTCCAATTAATGTGAACTTACTGCCTTTACTTATTGAAAGCCTCATTAGTTTGAAGCTGACAACTTCACAATGCGAATTTACTGAGAGCTCTGAACAGTAACAGTTACAGTGTTAGCATTACTATAGGAAATTTACATCTGTTTATTTCCTGATAAGACACTGTGGCTTATGAAATTTTTTTAAAATGCGGGCGTGAAAAATGTTGGCATTCCTATCTGGTCTCTCTGTTTTTATGCATTGCCGAGCTACCACATGATTTGCAAAGACTGGTGATCTCTTTAGAGGCCAGGACTGGAATTACCAGGTCATGACTGAAGTGCATTAATAAAACTCTTTTGGTCCCCTGTACTAGAATAAGACTGGCACTTGGGATTCAAGATACATTGGCAATAGGGCCATACCAAGATCCCATTCTAGCTTTATGCATTTTTATGTAGCAAACTATCTTTAGTGGTGGTTTCTCATGTGGTGTTATATGGCCATTGGGAAATGTTCTTGTAATAGCCACAATGTTTCTGCTTGGTTGGCTGAAAAAAACAATGATGCTATGATGATCTTTCTCCATCCTCGATGTATCATTCTCTTAAAAGGATGCTATGGGGCTCACTACCAGGGATTTGGGGACTTCTGGACAAAGACCAGTGACTGAGTAAAGAGGGGGCATCCCAGGGAAACATTTTTAGTGGAATCTGTCATTATCAAGCCTAGAGGAATTTTTGCTTAGTGACACAAGTAGTCATTCTTCCCCTCCACAGGAGGTGGGCAATGCTATCTGTGACCCAAGCTCTAGGAATCTGCAACTGAAAATTAAACTCCCCAAGTGGTTTTATTATGCTGGATATGCATCTCTTAAATATTTCCACCCAAGCAATTTATTAAACATTGTGGCAGTTAGTCTGGTAAAGTTGCCTTACAGGAAAACTCTGCCAAAGAAGTTCAGAAAACTAGCAGTTCCATTTTTAGCAAAATCAGCCTTAACATCTGTCACCACTACCCAGCCGTAACAGTGCGTCAGACAGAACAAAGCAAAAGTTGATAATGAAAACTGGGGCACCCCTGTGAATCTAGTCACTATCAACTACTGAGTTGCATAATTCATCACACGTTATCACAGGACCAAAACTTATTTAATTATTTTTTTCCATTTTTCTGTATTTTCTTTTAATTGTGTTTTTTGTTTG